AATAAGGAGAAACACAGTCAAGCCATTTTGTCTCAAACAGTCTTTGTCTCAAATTATCCCTGTCTCCCTGTCACAATTTGGTCCTGTCTCCAATTTGCCTTCATTGCCTTAAACTAGCCCTGTAAAAATTGTCTGTCTCAAATTTTCCCATATCCTACTGCCACATACTGGCATACAGCATATGCACGCAGGGATTTCAAGAGGAACATTCCCAAGTCTAAAAATTAAAGTTCATCTATTGCAGCAGGAAATCAGGTCCGGCATAAATAATCTTGAATGCAATGCAATGTATCATATATTTATTATTCAAGATGACTGGAATTTTTTTTCTTTGTTCGAATCCGGTGTCACACATCACTCAAAAGGACAAAGATTTGAGCCTACATACAGATATATATTCATATAATAACAATGGGGCCCCAAGATGCGGCAACAATTTGGAATGAAGTTCCCAGAAAGATGATTCAATAAAAATTGTTTTCTCGACTTGAAGATACAGAAAATAAAACCAAGCTAGCATGATCTGATGCTTTGGCATTTCAAAGGAGCTCATATGAATCAAACAGCAAGGACAAGTCCATATAGCTATACATGGTGGAAATAACTCTGAAGAACATAAGCACCTAATTAGCACATTTTTTTATTATGAAATATATTTTAAAATTCTGTGAATTTGAATAGCTAAATTTGTTCAAATAAAGGATATAACAAATGTGGAAAAATGAAATTGCTGCATTTTTGGCAAATTGTTGGGCAACAGTGTCCATAAATGTTTTCCAGATGTTGAGCAGATTTTTTGAAAAGTTGTATTGTGCCCCTGATTTGAATCGTCTGCTGCATGTAAAGGGGTCGCACTGTACTATACAGCATACACAATACACAGCTGGTACAGTAGAAAGAGAAAGAAAGAGGTTGTGGTTATTGGGCATCAATAAGCTTGTCAGCCTCTTCTACCCTGATGGCGGGCCTTGCCATTGTGATTGTTGGCATTGGTGAGGGGGTGATGGTCATTGTTGTGGAGCCACTCAGTCCTGAGCAGGTCCATGTAGGTCTTGGTGGTGTGGAACATGCGCAGGGTCTTGACGCAGGGGTCCTGCTGGACCAGACAGCGGCTGGCGATCTGGCCACTGGTGTAGGCTGCCGTCGACCGGATGGGCACGTCAAACGAGTGGTTGATGAGGAGCTCATCCCGGATGTTGTCTCGCAACTGCATGTACAATACAGTATATGATGGTACTTGAAACAGTTGCATTTAAGTCAAACTTCAAGGGACTAGCAAAAAATTTTGACTTAAGGAGGTTTTGAATTGATGTAGAATGCAATGCCCTTTTGTCCTGGGAAACATAGAAAAATTGCACAAAATAAATTTAACACTATAAGACTTCGACTATAATGAAGAATTTACTCAACTTTCGTAGTACTTGAACCTCCGTCCCAAGTAAACGGGTTTATTCAGAAACTGGAAGAAGATTTTGTTTAGTTAATTACAACGTTTGTACATTTTATTTTCTTTCTTGTATAAATAAAATAAAAGCCAACAGGCCACAGAAAATTTGAATCATAGAGGATTGAGGGAAAAGCCTTCAAAACAGGGAGGTTTCAAATGTAGTAATTCAAAGGGGATTCAAACAGGAGCTGAAAAAAATTTGACTTGGGGGATATTCAACTTAGGGAGGTTCCAGTTATCCAGCTTCACCTCCCAAACCAATTACCGACTATACAATACATACACATAATTTATTAACAGTAATACACACTTGATTCATAGTGTACCACAGTATCAAACTATTGGAAAGAAGGGTAAATGAAGGAAAGAAATGGAATGAAGCATAAAAATTAATCGCTGTGGCCTCTTCAATAAGGATCTCTTGAAAAGACTGAAGGACTTTTATTGTTACTTCTTCCATACATTTGCATAGCATATGAAAAACAAGCAGCAGTGCAATAGAGACATTTACAGCAATGGTGTCACTGTCTTTCATTGCACAAACAGTAAATCCCATTTAATGTTCAAGACAGAGCTGCACTATGCATAGCTGGGAAGAGTTGGATGATGAGGTTTTCTCAATTTTTTTCATGGCAGCTAGCAAATTGTACTCATCTCTTTCCTATGTAGCATGTATGATGGTTGAAGCAGGATAACTGAAACCTCCCAAATAAGTGACATTTTAGACTTAGTAGCAAATTTGTTTGGGATGACTGGATAATTGTTTCAAATTGATTTCAGTCATCAATCACAATGGTCAGGTGGATGTGTGTGTGCGGAATTTTCCGCGGCCCTGCTTTGAAACGGGGCACCAAAACGAAAACCGAAAAAGTAATTTAATCGGTACATCTAGAGATGCACCGAAACAAACGAGAGATAAGAAAATCCCCCAAAACTGGGGTGTCTTCCAACAAAAAAGGGGGACGAATCGGCATTTAAATTGTGATATTCTGAAGCTGATATTACTTCTTAAATGAGTTGAAAGCATCATGAACTTGGAGGCAGGGTTCATTTGCCCAAATAAGTCTTTGACCTTCTTCTAAAACAAATCAATTAATGTTTGTTTGTACATTTTATTTTCTTTCTTGTGTAAATAAAATAAAAGCCAACAGGCCACAGAAAATTTGAATCATAGAGGTTTGAGGGAAACGCCTTCAATACAGGGAGGTTTCAAATGTAGTAATTCAAAGGGGATGCAGACAGGAGCTGAAAAAATTTGGACTTGGGGGATATTCAACTTAGGGAGGTTCCAGTTATCCAGCTTCACCTCCCAAACCAATTAATGACTATACAATACATACACATCATTTACTAACAGTAATACACGCTTGATTCGTAAAGTACCACAGTATCAAACTATTGGAAACAAGGGTAAATGAAGGAAAGAAATGGACTGAAGCATAACAATTAATATCTGTGGCCTCTTCAATAAGGGTCTCTTGAAAAGACTGAAGGGCTCTTATTGTTACTTCTTCCATACATTTGCATAGCATATGAAAAACAAGCAGCAGTGCATTATAGAGACATTTACAGCAATGGTGTCACTGTCTTTCATTGCACAAACAGTAAATCCCATTTAATGTTCAAGACAGAGCTGCACTATGCATAGCTGGGAAGAGTTGGATGAGGAGGTTTTCTCAATTTTTTTCATGGCAGCTAGCAAATTGTACTCATCTCTTTCCTATGTAGCATTTATGATGGTTGAAGCAGGATAACTGAAACCTCCCAAATAAGTGACATTTTAGACTTAGTAGCAAATTTGTTTGGGATGACTGGATAATTGTTTCAAATTGATTTCAGTCATCAATCACAATGGTCAGGTGGATGTGTGCTCAACATGGTGCAGTGTTTCACCTGCTGTAGCAAAAACTTTTGCATTATTATTTTGATAACTTTGGCACTGTGTTTTTGATGACCTCTGTTACTTGTGATTATGAGTAACTGGGAACTTATAAAAAATTGACCAATGATGAAACAAGTTCTTACTGGCCCTTGTGAAAATTAACCCTTGGTCAGTGCTGGCCAAATTTACTCGCACAATTTTGTGCCACTAATAAAGTAAAAAAACAAGTACCTATAGAATGATCCCAATCATAGCCAAAGTTGGGAAAAATCCCAAATTCTTTTTTTTTCATTCCAGAAGAAACATTTTTGTGAAAAACAAAATAATTTACTGCCCAGCAGTGGCATTTTTTCTGCATTTAAGCTGTAAGATCAGTATGAGGGATTTTGAAGAAAATTGTTTTTGCTCTCCGGGATTTCTCCCAACTTTGTGTACTCAGCCAAAGCTACAGACATTGGTGACCTTTAACTCTTGGACAACGTTAGCCTCCTTTCCATCCCAGGGCAAAGTCGGATTATTTCCCAATGGGCCTGCATAACTTTTTTGCACAAGTTTATGCAACCCCTGATAGGTGGGGGAGGGCAAAGTCAGATTTTATCTGGGGATAAATAAATGCTGGGAAGGTCCTGAGTTGGACTTTTTCTGCTGTATTGACCTCTAACCTGGGCTCCTGGCTATCAAGCTTAAATTTGATTTTTGAATGGGGAAACAACACATGGCCAGGGGAAAAAGGGAGCCTTGAAGTTTTCATTTTTTTCATTTTCTAGTGAAATTTGTCCGTGTAAAATTGAAAAAAGGCCAGGATTTTTCCCAACTTATTGCCCTCCACACACTATTGGGGTTTTTTTTTTAAATTTCCACTCTTGTGTGCAACCAAAATCTGCAAAAAAAAAGTCCAACTTTGCCACAGAAGGGTTAAATTCAACCCAAAATGCACAAATGTGCAAAGATTTCCTGGCACTTCTGCACAATGGAAATCGACTTGCTCCTGCCAATGGGCTAATGAGTGAAACTGATTTTGAGCAATACAGTTATACCAAGAACATTTGCCTTTATAGGGGGTCACACCAGCCAAGAGGCTGGCACCTGTCAAGCTCAGGATTCAGGAGTGGACCAACATACCTTAGTGCTCAATTGTGTTTATAGACTTCTCAGCCCCACGTCTTGAATTTTGGAATTCTTTATTCCCCATTTGAAGGCAGAATGACGTTTGCTGGTTAAATTACTGATGGTCCTGCACCCCATTTATCCCCATCAACTGTTTGAAAAGCTTTCATACATTTGAATGGTTCTTGTGATCAATTTTTTTCCATTGCACTTGGGACACACCAGCATAAAATACATATTATTTGAAAAAAAATTGAACAAGCTTCGATTTTATGTTATTTTTATTCCTGAGGCTCAATTTGTTTACATAAAAAATAAATCGGTTTCTTTCCTTCTGGTCCAGTCCAGTGTCACGCATATAATGGATATTAGTGTGATAGGAAACCACTCACGTGTTGCATGCTGCACGTGATGTCCCTCAGGTACTCGGTGAGTAGAGACACATGGCGCCCCTGTTGCATGAGCGAGTGGAAATACCCGTAGGTCACACGTTGGGCCAGCGTGTAGACCTGTATCTTGACGAACGCGTCCTTCAGCAGTTCTCTCTCCTACATGCACAAATATGTTACATTAAAGTACAGTACATTTGAATCAATGGTCAACCAAAACGACCTTTTATGCTGTCTGAAATGCAGCAGCATTGAATCACGATTCATATACTTTATTTTCGTGTGCACGAACGACCCCTAAGCTCACCTGATTCCCCCACTTGAGGTACACCAGCTTTGGCCTGGGCAAGCAGCCCTCGAATGGCTCCAACTTGGCCCACTCCTCGTAGGGCTCTCGCTTGAAGCCACAGCGTTCCACAGCGTGTGCATGCTGAGGGGAGAAATAACACAAGTATTGTAATAACAACAGTGGATAGATGGAAAAATAGCCCTCTTCTGTTTACGGGGAAAAAAAGTAATGGACAATTGTCTCATAGTGTAATGGACAATTGTCTCACTGACCAGGAGGTCCTTGGCAGTGTCGGTGAGGTTGGCGATGCGGAGCACGTAACGGAAGATGCTGTCCTGTGCGTCCGAGGCGCTCTTGTCCGAGCTGGGCAGCAGGAGTTGGGCAGTGGAGAAGTCCGCGGTGCAGGCGTCCATGGCCCACAGCTCGTAGGTGGAGCTCACGATCCCGCTCTCGGCTGCAGCACCCACGTCCTCGCCGAACTTGCCAATCAGCGTGCGCAGGAGGGCCCGCAGGAGGCTGCTGCCACTAGTGCTGGCACTGGTGCTGATGGCCTGCAGGGCGGGGTCCATGAGCAGACCGGGCCAGTGCTGAGGATGAGTGGATCCTGTAGCTGCTGCTGACGACGGTGGGAGGTCCTGTTGTGGCTGTTGCTGCTGATGTTTGCCGTCGTCCCCCAACTTTTCCTCTTGTAATGGTTGGTGTGAATATGACGTTGATGGTTGCTCTTGTTCTGGCTCATCATGCTGTTGCTGTTGCTGCTGCTGCTGGGCAGCAAAGGGAGCAGCTAAGCCTTCCAGGAATTGACCTGAAAACGTCATCAAAAGGTGAAGAAAAAAAATGGTGATTGAATAATGAATATTGTACATGGAAAAGGGTCAGTTTGAGATGCAAAAGTCATAAATCAAACAAGAAGAATAAGGGTCGTTTGTCACTATCAAATCTCTTGCTGGGAAAGTCGAGAAATAGTCAGAAATGTCAAGCTCCTGAAACCAAGTCAGAACACCAGGAAATCAATAGGGTGCCTACATTTGAGGAGTCCTTATGTTTGTATGAATAAGGTTTTGATATACTTTGCTGTACTCGCACATAGCTGTTGAAAACCCTTTAAAAAGAGCCACAATATTAGGCTGTGTGGGATTCGGAATCCGAGAATATTCTCAAAGGGATGCATGAAAGTAATGGTGAAAAATTATTAGGAAATTGTTTTTTTTTCTGGCTTAATTGACAACCAACTGATTAGATTTCTCAATATAAAGAATTCACATGGAACCACATTTAGCAACTGGTCAGTTTTGTAATTCCTTGTGATATCCACTGAGAAATACTCACCCAAAGGTGCCCTGGGGTTGGTCAAATGGTAGTGCAATCCAGTGAATGAAGCAGCAATGGGTTCAAATGGATTTATTCCACCTCTAGTTCCCCTTTTCATTCGGCCCCTCGCCCTATACAAAGAAATACATACAGTGGGGCATCTCTCCATTCAATTTCTAGCTCTCATAACTCAAAAATAAAAACTGTACAGTATTTCCATAACAAGCAGGCACAAAATCACTTTGTTATCCAGTGTCTCCATATTATACTTTACATAATAACTTTTACACATGGGTTCCCTCAACAGATGGATTTTCTCCCAGAAATAATAATCAGAAAATACTTGCCAGTAAAATTCAAAAGTCCCAATTGAAAAATAAAACTGAAGACATGGGGCTATACCAGTTGATTTCATGGCTCCCCACAAATTAGGAAATTTTTGATTTTGGGAAAATTTTTCTGGTGGCCTCTCATCCCATCCACCAACAAAATTTTTTGATTAGATGCGGGTTATTTCATCAGACCTTGAAAAATGACACTTGTTATGTGGGAAAAGGAAGGAAATACTTTGTGTACTCCCCTTTTCCAAGCTAAGTTAATTTCCTTTGTCATTGAAATATTGCAATGAAAGCATCAAGATTTCCTTGCAAGTTTTGGCATTGAGGAAAGTGATGGAAGCTTGTTCCCCTCCCTTAGCCCTAAAGTTATTCATCAGGTAACATCTTTTCATAGATGAAAATATTTCTTTCTATATGTGAGGTGTCCTTTCTGGCTTTCCACGTCATCACAATTTAGCTATTTCCTGATTTAACCTTTTATCCTTGCTGTGCGGAAATCTCTACATACCAGGGTTCTAACAAAAGTTCTTGGAGTAGCAATGAAAATGGCCTACAGTTGACCTGAAACAAATTTATTCTTTAGGGAAACCATATTCTTTGGCACATACAAAATATAAGCCCTGTTTGACAAATTTTTGGAATTTTTTCATAATTCACCCTGGCAGAGTTTCGCTCTCCACTCAAAAGACAAGGCACCCTTTTTGTTGTAGCCCAGTTTTTTCCTCAGAATTTTTAAATAAGCTTGGCATTCTTTTTAAGAGTTGCCTCCTGGTCATCCAAGGCAATTCTGCCATTTTCATCAAAAGCGGCCTTTATTGCCACCACATTGGCTGCCACTTTTGCAGCTGTGAAGGCAGCTGTCAATGAAAATGGCGGAATTGCCTTGGATGACCTAGAGGCAATCCTTAAAAAGAATGTCAAGTTGATTTCAAAAATTCTGAGGGGAAAGCTGGGCTACAACAAAGAAGGGCGCCTCATCTTTTGAGTGGAGAGCAAAACTTTGCCAGGGTAAATTATGAAAAAAAATCAAAAAAATTTGTCAAAGAGGGCTGATATTTTTTGCGTGCCAAAGAATATGTTTTCCCTAAAGAATAAATTTGTTTCAGGTCAACTGTAGGCCATTTTCATTGCTACTTCAAGAACTTTTGTTAGAACCCTTGTAGGTGCGTCCCCTTACTGGTATCCCTCTGGTATATTTAAATATAAAGTATCCATTTAAATGGCTCAGATCCACTCTAGCGTTTGACGGGAAAGGAAGGCTTAGCTAACCTAATTGCATCAAATGTAAATTGATAGATTGAGTATCTCAGTCTTCTGGACTTCAAACCTTATCCTTGTGTTTATGTTTTGTGTTTCTACTGATTGAAACCCGTGTATGAATAAGCTGTATGTTTTTTTACACTTGACTCACAGTCCTTTAAATGTATCTCATAAGGACAACAAAGTACAGTATACTGTACTCATGTTTAGTCAAAGTCATATGAATTTAAATTCTGTCAGTTGTTATTGTAAATTTTCAAGGATAACAGGTGTGGGGTTGCAAAGGGACGTGGCATGACCCAAGAGTGGCATCCTTGCTCGGGCTCCATGCACGTAGCAAGTCTCCTAGCACCACTGGAACCAAGGTCTTGAATGGCACCTGGTTACCGCCTGGCGGAACCGGGTGAGAAGATAACAATCAGAAGAATTGGGATAGCATTATGAGAGGCTCCAAAGCCATCACTCTGCTGAAAGCCTTGCCTGACAGCAGTCGCTAGCAATTATCAAATTCCTTCCTTGAGGGACTTGTCTTTTGTGATACATGTGTTGTGTTGTTGCATATCTTGAGAGTTTTGAGATCTTGGTTCTGTTCTGTTCTGGTTCTCTGCCAAATAAACAAGTGCTCAAGGGACATCCCTTCTGGAGGATCCAGCCTTTTAAAGGCTGCAACACGTTTACAGTTATTTCCTTAACTCTTTGTCAACTACACCTGACAACAGGTTCATACCAATCACATCTAAAATATCTACATACTTCTGCTTTGTATTATTAAGAATGAAAAATTGAAGAGTATCCAACTTGTATACCAGGAAGCAGATCAATACTGCCTAAAGAAGAATTAGAAGCATTTACAGGAGTGTTTGCCAACCTTCTTTCAGCTCCAGGACCTGCATATTTTCTTTAAATTTTACATGGGCCAGCAATGTCTCATAAATTATTGACAACCAGAATACATTTTAAATACCTGCAATACAGTCCTTGGAACAAAACTTTTATCGCAATAATGAAGTTGAGAACCAATGAAGCAGCTATCTAGGAGAATGTCTTAAAAAAAAAGTAATCTGGGCTTCCAGGAAGGTTTCTCAGAGAGAAAACTTTAAATAATGCATTTCAGCAGGTAAAAATACTGTATGTCTGAAGTACTATGATTGAAAGAAAGGTAAAATTTTAATTTTCATTAGATAATTTCAACTCTGTCATTGTATTTCACAATTTTTTGATTGCAATAATAGACCATCACTGATTTCAAAAATGCATCATGTGAAAGACCTTTTTTCATGGACTGGCAATAAACTCCTGCAGACTGGCACCAGTGGTACACAGACCACAGGAGGTTGGGGAACATTGACAACCAGTAAAAGAGAAGGAATCCTTTACCTGAAAACCTCCTGTTTTCCATCCTCGGCAAAATGGAGTGAAGATAAGTCACCATCAACCAGAATGTGGGTGCAAAGAAAACACAGGAGCCCCAAATAGACCACCACAAGCTTCATGGACTGCCCTCCATCCATCCACAGTGGACTGCTGCACACTCACTTCCTGATATGAGTGGTACACAGTAACCCGTCTAAGCAGGGACACTTGTCCTGCCAGCTGGGACACAACCAGCCTGTCTACCTGCTGTGGTGAATGTGGACATGCTAGAATCTGCAGCAAACCATTGAATCAGAATTCAAAGGACAGAGGAAGGATGACTGAAACAGTCTGTCTTCCGTGGAAGCCACAAATGTAATGATCAATACAGAAACCCATCCAAAGAATGGAGGGTGAGTTTTGGAACTATTCATGGAAGTGATATGCAATTACAACTGAACATTAACCCCAGGTGTTCAAATAATCTTTCAATGGTCTGTGCAAAGTATGAAGTACTCGAGTCAATTGCAATAAAACAATAATGACAAAAAATTAGATTGGGTCTCAATTCATGTTACATTGCAATCATTATTTATTTGTTATAAGTAATGGTCAGTACTGTAAAAGGCTGTTGTCAGTGCATTGAAGGAAGAAACACAAGGTTTACTTTTCGGAATGAATTCTATAGAGGCCTTTATTTGTTGCATACAGTATTTAGTAAATTTAACCCCTATTGGGAGGTATACCCTCTCGGAAACCATTGAATTGACGTCAGAAAATTACATCTGTGACATGAGAATCGATGGACACAACTCGAGTGAATATGGATTCAGAATCCATCCTAAAAATATAGCCTTTCGAATGAAACAGTTATCCGTCCTGTTCTATTCAAACGGAAACCCTCATCTGACCAAGGTGAGATCAAACATTATACATGAACAGCTAGGGTAATGTATGGCAGTGAGACGTTTTCTCCAGAATAAGCTCTGCAATGATCCGGATGCAATAACTTATTCTGTTGAGTGATATGTTTCAATGCAACAAGAGTCTGCATATGCAGAACGAAAACGTATTCTGCAATGAAATGGAATGATGGATTCGCGTGCATAAATGAATAATACGCGTGCTCAATATAATAAACGAACTCTCATACTTGTCAAATGTTCCGATGCATTTTTAGCCGCTGGCTGATTGATCTTGCTGGAGGCTGATCTA